CAAAAAAAAGCTTAGTTAATTTTAAACCCCTTCACAAAAAAGATTAATACACATATGCCACTAGTTTAATATCCAAACTCTTAAAAAATAATATTGGTGTCTATAAATTATATACTTTTTGTCACAATATAACTCAGTGAATCTGTACCAAATGTAGTGCTTATAGGTTTGTGGAGTTATCTTAATCTGTGGTATAAATAATTCTGACTGTGTGCCATTGTCTATATGTGAGATATACCATAATCTATATGATAAATGCATCTTATTGATCTACAGTGGTCCAGACCCCCTGTACCAGAAGCTGTGGTTTCTTTACTTCTGCTGGCAGTGTCTCTTCCCCAGTGAACCAGTCGGATATCCCTGCACCTGAATTCCAAATCCCAGCTCCCAATCCATGGAAACACACACCGGTCAGGTCTTTATCCCACAGGATCTCAGAGCCAGCTGAGAAATACAGAGCAGCAGCTTCTGCAAATGCCTAGGCTTAGATGTGGTGTCTTCTCTTCGACCTGTTTGTTGTGAAATCCATCCATCTTCCTGTTGGAACTGTGGATACTGAAACCAACCTTAAAGAGTAAAGTTTGGGTACGGTTTAGCCCCACTAGTTTACAGCGAAGGGGCTTTTATCCAGAGTACAGTCTTTAAATTGCGATTTTATTTCTCTGTGCTTTCTCTCCAGTTTCCGTAGATACCAATGGTGTAAAGCCCAGCAGGCTGAGTAAACTGATCCGCCTTTCAGGGAACAATGTCACGCAGGATTCCCTCCAAATCTTTTGGGCAGCCGAAAGTGGCTTTGATTCCTTTCTGATCCAGTACGGAGTGGAAGGATCTGAGGAGGTGCAGAACTTCACAGTGCCTGCTCATCAACATTCGTCCTTCATTGAAGGCCTGAGGCCTGGTACCAAGTACCTGATTTCTCTCTCTGGGCTCTCCGGCAGCAGACGGACTAGGCCACTAACCACTGTAATAACCACTGCAGGTATTCCTCACTAACCGGTCCCCTCAGCAAAACTATTTCAACCACTGAACTGGAAGTTTTCCCATTCTGTACGTTATTGTCTCCTGTAACCTGCAATGCATCATGGGAAGCGGCCATCTTGGAACAATCCCCACTTTCATTGTCCATTTGTCAAGTGTGTGTTCATGTGGCGTGTGCTGGGAAGGTTCGTTTTTTTTTGTAAATTCCCTTGAATTGGTTGTACACCTGACAGTTAAGGGTTGTTCTGCTTGGAGCAGAAAAAGATGTGGGGAGATTTACCAAACTGCAAGGGGTTTTGGTCAAGCAAATGAGGAGAAACTGCTTCCTGTGGCTGGAGTAACAGTAATGGAAGTCAGACATTTCAGATTACTGAACAAAGATTGGGAGATGGGGAAGCTTTTTTATTCACAGAACAGGTTGTTGTGATCTACACTGGCTGAAGGTTTGATGGAATCAGATTCATAAAAACAGTCCGGAGGGAAATCATTGTATAGTCGAAGGGGAACAAGTCACTCGGGATAAACAGCAAGGGACTAACTGGGAAGCGCTTTGAAAGACCAGGCACAGCCATGATGGTCAAATGGCCTCTCCCTGTGCCAGGTGATTCCACAATTACACGACACTAACATAAACTACTGACTGATCCCATGGTGTTCTCACCTAGAAATTGTAAGGAAGTTCTTCTCATAGTTGAACAGCAGCTGTTCCTCCAACAGTAAAGTGTTGTGTATCTCTTCCTCCTCCTTTTAGCTTCAGCAGAGAAAGAGTTGGTGAAATCCGGCACATTTGGGAGCCTTTCGTTCTCGAATATCACAGCTGACTCCTTCCTCCTCTCGTGGTCAGCTGACACCGTCTTTGACTCCTTCCTGATACAGTATAAAGCTCAGGAGTCTGAACTTCTGCAGAATATCACGGTAACTGGTGATCACCGCTCGGCCCTCATCACAGGCCTAAGGCCTACGACCAACTACACCATTTACCTCTATGGGGTGTCCAATGACCAACTCTCCAAGCCATTGGTGGCTCTTATGACCATCACAGGTACTTGCGATCCAGGAATGGATCGAACGCTATTCTCGGTTTTTCCACTCCTCATGAAATATTTTCTCCCTCCATCTCTCTCTCTTTCTCTCTGCTCTCATGCAATCTCTTGAGGCTGAGAGCAAGAAAATATTTCATTTTGTTCTCAAATTGCTTCTGTCGCCAAGGAAACTGCCGCCATTTTAAGACAGGTGATAGCATGGCTGGATGCTCCAGCCTATTGGGCATTGCTGTGGTGCGATTGGGTAAATTATGCTTCAGTGTTAATAGTTCCTGCTTTATAAAGAGGTGCAAAATGAGGTAAATCCAATGAAGCTTTTCTTACTGCAAGGCTTGGTTGTGTAGATTTTTACACATGCATACACAGGTCAAAGTTTATGTTGAATATGTTTGGCTTCCCGTTTTCCGTTTTCCTCTTCTCCTCAGATTACAAGCTAGAGTTTTATCTTCAGAGAAAACATTCTTCAGTGTGAAATATAGAGGTCACTAACTGTGTGTTATTTCCAGATTCATGATTGTCTCCAATTTCGAACGGTCAAGGATAAAATAATTTTGGAAGGCATTTATTTCTTCCTCACAGTGTTCACTTCAGAAGAGAATCTCTCGTGCATTCACAGAATTCGTCATCATTCATACAATATAACCCATAGTATAGCGTGAGTTAGAAACTGAACTGAGGAGTTTCTGAAGAAGGATCTAGGCCCGAAACGTCAGCCTTCCTGTTCCTATGATGCTGCTTGGCCTGCTGTGTTCATCCAGCTCTACGCCTTGTTGTTTGAGGAGTTTCAGTAGTTTACGTGTAGAATAACAGGTAGCCAGGAATGAAATACAAGCTGGAATTTAGTTGAGGGGTTCAGGCAGGTTATATACAGAATAGCAGGTACCCTGGAGAGAGTTACACACTGGAGTCTATTCGAGGGGTTAGTGGAGTTTATGTGTAGAATAACGAATACCTGGGAGGTTGGTACAGATTAGAGTCCAATTGAGGGTTTATGTAGAGAATAACAGATGCCCAGGAGAGAGTTACAGACTGGAGTCTATTCGAGGGGTTAGTGGAGTTTATGTATAGAATAACGAATACCTGGGAGGTTGGTACAGATTAGAGTCCAATTTATGTAGAGAATAACAGATACCCAGGAGTGAGTTATTGGATGCTGGAATCCAATAGGAGGTGAGCAGAATTACTTACTCATGCATTCAGGAGTAAAAGGGTGTAGATTTGGGTTGTATTTGGTTTCTGTCACTAGACTTGGACAAGTGCAGATTTTGATGCAAGCAATCCTTTTGTGTTTTCTCTCCACAACCTTCTCCCTCCACACCACCTCTTGCACCCAGTTAACCATCCGTTTCCTCCTCTCCCTAGAGGTTCCTGTTCATACTGTTGGTGTCAGTGCCCTGGGAAGGCTGTCAGTCTCTGATATCAACACTCGCAGCCTCAAGCTCAGCTGGGCCGTGGAGGAAGGGGCCTTTGACTCTTTCTTGGTCCAATACAGAGACTCCGAGGGGCAGCTGGAGGTCGGGCAGCTGGAGGTCAAGGAGGTCACAGTGCCAGGCAACCTCCGTAGTGTCTCCATCGCCAACCTCGCCCCCAGCACCGAGTACCTCATCTCTCTCTATGGCGTATTACAGAACCGGCGAACAGAGCCCATTCCCATTGTGGCACGAACAGGTACTGACAGGCCTTGGTGTCCTCAGGGTTACACTGCCTCTGCTCTCTTTATTCATTTAGCTCTTCACTCATCACCATTTCACCCCAATTTAGGAGCTTGTTCACAGCGTTAATAATTTTACCACTGGATTTTTTTTTACAGTCCAGAGTCTGGAGAATTGCGTTCCTACCTGGGACACTCTCTCTCATCCTAGTTGGGCCTAGGCCCAGGATTTGTTTCTGTTTACAGTCAGTGTGTAACAGCACGGATGACGGGGCAGTGTTGTGGTTGACTGTTTCTTCCTGAACTCCTCTCCGTACTGGGACGCTCCGTATAGGCACACTGGGGATTGGGGCAGACCGAGAGTGCACACGCCTACCCTGTTCTGTCTGTAACACTCCCCCTCCTTCCTACCCACTGGTTCAAGGAGAAGTGCGTCCAAGATCTGAGGTTCCAATCGTCTACAGTCACGACCGCCTTCCACCTCCATCCCCTTCGTTCCACCGACCTGCCTCTGCTATCACTCCAGTATATCTCTGCTTGGAGTGGTAGGGCAGCACAAAGGGAATGATGGATAATTCATGCCAGCCCGAGGTTTGACTGGTCGAAGGTAACACTGGACGGTCAAGGTGAGGCATCAGCTTGAAAAGTCCACTGGTTTGTTACATTAAATACCTGACATGTTCCCATGAGTGTCTGATAAGGTTCAGAGTGGTCAGGGATCTTGGCTGATACATTGTTTGGAGGGGTTTGGGGGGGCATGGTGGAGGGAGGGGGAGAGGGTGGTGGGTAAAGGGAAGCGTGATGCAGGATATTGGAAGAGTCTATGCTGCCTCACCAAAGTACCTCGTCAGTGTTCAACTGCTGAACATCATTCTGCAGCCATGCCGTCCCTTCAGCCCCATGTGTCCATTGGGAATACCGGGCCCTGCAAAGCATGGTGGGTAAGCTATCACATGTCCCATGGTGCTCCTCTCCTGTCTCCATTGGAAGGATCTGTGGCACCGGGGGGCCCTTTCAGTAAAGTAAGAAACGTTTTGCCAGTTTACAAAGGCCTTTGTGAGAGGTAGACATGAAATGTGGTCTAGGATTGATTAAAATAAGGCTTGAGGTCACGGCCTCTTGGGCTTGAGGAAACATTTTCCTTTTCTTCAGACAGGGGACTGTTGAAGAGTCTGTTGCCATTTACACGGTTTGGGGAATTATTCATGCCTACACCCTTCCCCTCTGGCTCCATCTGTCATGGCTCCACTGGTCGCTGCATCAGGGGAGTGCTTGAGTGAGTCGCTCAGGGATTGTTATGTTCTCTTTTTTCTTCATTTTAATTGCAGCTCAAGAGAGTCCGAGCAGACTGAGTTTCTCCGACCTCACAGACAGCTCAGTCACTGTCCACTGGGCAGCACCGTCAGCCCCTGTCGATAACTTCAAGATCTCCTACGTCCCGAGAAAACGAGGTGAGAGGGTGGCGGGCTAGGCCAGGACTCGTGTTCGGTCACTAACTCGGTGTGGGTGTGTGTTGGTACGTGTGTACTAGCCATTCAGTCAAGGCAACTGACCCCCAACGTGTTCAGGCAACTGAACTTTAGCTCAGTGACCTTTAACCCTTGGAGGGTCAACAGAGAGTGTCACCTCCTGTGCGTGTGTCACTGACCTTTAACCTCTGGCGCAGTGCATGGTGGCAACCCTTAACCCTTTTGTGTGCCGAACCTCAGTAACATTTAACCACAACGCACTGGTGAATGTCGACTGAGCTCCCCCCCCGCCGCCGTCCCCGCCTCCCAAACACCCCCCACCCCCACCGGCCCCAATGGCAGTGCCGTGTCGTTTCAGGTGAATCGAGGAGCGTGGTGATCGATGGCACAAAGACTCGCGTCACTCTGAGGGACCTGCTCCCAGATACTCCGTATGAGGTCACCCTGGTGGCCATGCGAGGGCCCGCTGAGAGTCCGTCCATCCTGGACCGCTTCACTACCGGTGAGTGAGGTGGGAGTGGGTGGGGCCAGATGGGGGGTGGTGGGGTTCAAATGAAGAGGTGGGGGATTGCTGGGTGGAAAGTTCATGAGGCAAGGTGGGGAGAGGAGTGGGAGGACGTGGTGGGAGCGGGAATGGGGGCTGGGTGTCGCTCAGTGAGTTAGAACTCCAGCACGCACTCCCCCCAGATTCGACCGCTCCCCCTGGGGCTGAGGTACTCCTAGAGACACAGAGGTCTACAGCATGGAAACAGGCCCAACTTGCCCAGGGCTGCCCAGTTTTCACAGTGTAAACTAGTCCCTTTTGCCTGTGTTTGCTCCATATCCCTCCATGCCTGTCCCATCCATGTAACTGTCCAAATATTTCTTAGGCAATGAAATTGTACTCGCCTCCAGCACTCCCTCTGGTAGCCTGCTGCAGACACTCACCACCCTCTGTGTGAAAAAAAAATTGCCCCTCTGAACCTCTTTGTATCTCTACCTTAAACCTTGTACAGGACATTGGAGAGGCCTCTTCTGGAATATTGTACTCTTCTGGAGTTCTGGCTGCCCTGTTATAGGAAGGATATTATCCAGCTGGAGTGGGTTCAGAAGAGATTTACCAGGATGTTGCAGGGTATGGAAGGTGTGCGATATAAAGAAAGGCTGGATAGGCTGGGACTTTTTTCACTTTAGCTTGGGAGGCTGAGAGGTGACCTGATACAAGTTTATTAAACTTGTTTATTAAACAATGAGAGGTAGTTGCCTTTTCCCTAAGATGGGAAATTTCAAGACTAGGGGGCTTGAAGGTGAGAGGAGAGAGATCTTAAAAAGACATGAGAGGCAATCTTTTTTACATAGAGGGTGGTTCGCGTTTGGAATGAACTTGAGGAAGTGGTGGATGCGGGTGCAGTTACAATGTTTAAAAGACATTTGGATGGATACTAGATGGGTCTAGATCAGTTTGGGATTATGTTCGGCATCGGCTGGTTGGATTGAAGGGTCTGTTGCTCTGCTGTATGTCTCTATGACTCTCTGACTATGACCTATGTTGTCTAGTTTTAGACTCTCCAACCACAGGGAAAAGCTGTTGGCTAATCTATCTTTCCTATGCATCTCATAAACCTCCATAAGGTTACCTCTCAGTCTCCTACGCTGCAGGAAAAAAGACCCAGCCTAACCAACCTCTCTTTATAACTCAAACGTTCCAGTCCCGGTAACATCCGAGTAAATCTTTTCTGCACTCTTTCTAGTTTAATAAAATCCTTTCAATAGTAGGGTGACCAGAATTGCACAAAGTACTCGAAATGTGGCTTCACCAGTGTCTTGTACAGCTGCAACAAGGCGTTCCAACTCCTATACTCAATGCTCTGACCAATGACAGCAAGCATGTCAAAATCATCTTCACCACCCTGTCTACCTGTGATTCCACTTTCAAGGAGCTATGTACCTGTACCCCTAGATCTCTTTGTTCTATAACATTCCCCAGGGCCCTACCGTTGGCTGTGTAAGTCTTCCCCTGTTTTGAGCCACCAAAATGCAACACCTTGCATTTATCTAAATAAAACTCCGTCTGCTATTCCTCAGGCCACCGGTTCAGTTAACCAAGATCTTGTTACATTCCCTGATAACCTTCTTCACCATCCACTATACCACCAATCTCTGTATCATCTGCAAACTTACTAACCTCGCCTTGCCTCACTCTCCAGGCCGCTATCTCACTCCTACCCCGAGTAGCATTTGCTGAGCCTCACCCCCTTCCCTTTCTCCTATCCCATTCCAATTCCCCACACCCCTTCCTTCATTGCAGTCCTCCATCCACTCCCCTGGGACCACCCCCTTCTCCACCTACCCATTTGCCCAACTCCTCCCAGACCAACAACAACAACATTCCTCCACCCTGTTCCTCGCTTTCTTTGTGAATAAGGTGTCTGTAATTCCATTCCTGAAGAAGGGAGAATGACTAAAAAGAGGAAACTACAGGAGACTAAGCTCAACATTATCACAGAGAAGGTGCTTAAGCTCCGATTACAAATGGAAAAGGAGGGCATTTATGAAAATTCAAGGTAATTGGGCAGAGTCAACATGGTTTGGTGAAAATGTTTTAGAGTTCTTTGAGGAAGTAACGTGCTGCGACAGAGAGGAGCCAGTGGACACATGTACTTAGGACTGCAGACTGTATTTGATATGACACTACACCAAAGGCTGTTTCAGAAAATCAAAGCTTGTTGGTGTGGTGTGGGGCTAACATTGTACTGGCCTGAATGAGAGGAAGCAGGAATTAACCAGATCAGTGTCCACAGCCTGGGGTCAACGAGGCACTGTGCCAGTTGGACAAGGTTTCAGGCAGAGAACAGGGAACCACTTTGTCTGTGCAGCTCACAGAATCTCTGGATTCTGTTTGTGTTCATTCAGCCCCAGATGCTCCGACTGATCTGAAAGCTGTTAATGTGACCGAAGTGATGGCCCTCTTGGTTTGGAGACCCGCGATCGCTCCCATCGACCACTACACTATCACCTACGGCAGCAAAGCTGGTGAGTGGGGCAGTACAGCGGCTACGGTAATGTCCTGCACAGATATCCAAGCTCAGCACGATCCCCGCATGAGGGGAGCAAACTGTCCGTATATCCCAAACCCATACAGGAACACACACACACTGACCCACATCCCAGTTGGATCTGAATTAATTCAGTGATTATCCTTCCTGTTTGTACCAGGTCCCTCTGTCAGCCAGGACGTCCCCGGTAACTCAGCTGAACTGCAGCTGACTGATCTCAATGTGAACACTGAGTACACAGCGGATATCTACAGTGTCAGCGGAGACAGGAACAGTTCGAGAATCTCTACCAGTTTTGTCACTGGTGAGTATTTGGTGGAGTGGGCTATGGGACAGAGTGCAGACCCAGTCTGCCTCCCGTTCTCTGCTTTCTGTGCCCCTTGGGGGGTTTTCAGCTGTTCTGAGCTGGTAAGAGCCTCAGCTTTTCTCTCCCTCTCTCACACACAGACACACTCTCTCTCTCTCTCTCTTTCACTCTCTGTCTCACTTTCTCTCACTCCCTCACTCTCTCTCTCTCTGTCTCTCTCTCTTACTCATACACACACACACTCTCTTACTCTCTCACTGTCTCTCTCTCTCACTGTCTCTCTCTCTCTCTCTCTGTCACTCACTCACTCTCTCTCACTCACTCTCTCTGCCTCTCTCTCTGCCTCTCTCTGTCTGTCTGTCTCTCTCTCTCCCTCTCTTTCCCTCTCACTGTCTCCCTCTCTCTCCCTCTCTCTCCCTCCCTCTCCCTCTCATTCTCTCTCATTCTCTCTCTCGCTCTTTCAGGTTCCGATCTGCCGAAGGACCTGACGGTGAGTGACATCTCATCGAATGAAGGCCTGGTCTCCTGGAAGAGCCCAAGAGCCCCGGTGACTGGATATCTGCTGCTGTATGGGGCTGGAGAGGACCTAACTCAGGTAACACTTAGACCCAGTGCCTCCCCCTGTCTAATGCATCCCACTGTCCTGTCATAGACCCTCTCTCCCTGAAAACCCCCACACAACCTCCCCTCTCTCTGGCTTTACACTGTTCTCCTGCCAGGACCCCATCCAGATGCTTGTCTCCTCACTCTCTCGGATTCCCATCTCCCTGTCCTACCCTGTGATCCCTGATCCAGATCGGATTCCAATCCAGCAGCACCTCCCGGTTCTCACAATGTTCTTGCAGAAATCTCCATGGCTTCGCTGGTCTCTTCAGGCTCCTGCAGCTCCATAGTCCTCCTCTCGTTCTGGCTGCTTGAGCTCCCCCAGTCAGTAGCTGCCTTGGCCCTAACCTTTGGAATCCCCTCCCAACAACTCTCCATCTCTTTGCCTGTCTACACCACTGTATCTGCACCTCTCTGCCTCTCCATCTCTCTGCCTGTCCACCCCACTGT